GGTACAAATTGAAAAATGAATTACAAATAGTAGAGACTCTAGGTTAGTCTAACGAGACCTGACAAACCCAATATCATAGTTTCGACGAAGAAAAAAATGTAATTGGAGGGTTAAGGTGCGCATCTAACAAGGGAGAGAGACTATACGACAACGTAGCATTAGACTCGCATATTTGCGATGCGGTGGCGTATCGAGGCTCTCCTCTCTCGAGCTCCTGTAGTTGCTTAGGACCGACTCTGCGCTTAGAACGACTTAGCACACACGGTGCAACGACCTCGCGCAACGAGCCTTACTGTGTGTATCTTTCGTTCCTCTCTCTCTCTCTCTCTCTCTCTCTCTCTCTCTCTCTCTCTCTCTCTAACGAGCGTGTGCACATCTAAAGCAAACGGACGACTGGACGAGCCCAAAGAGACCGATTTCTCCGCCTCCTCTCGTTCTCATCTCTCGTTCTTGGTACTCGCGTGGAGCGTCGCGACGCCCGCATCGTATCGGGGTTCTGGATGGACTCAAACGTGATTTACCACCGTGGGTTCCGTTTAATGGGTCCGTTGGAAACGTAGGCATTTTATCGGTGATCAACGGACAATGTTGTTGTATTCCATTTTAAACATGGCGGACGCCATTCTGTCGTCTGCTTGATCGATATATGGCGTGTGTGGTTTTTGTATCGAATACCGTGTATTCTTTCACGATACAAATATTTCTTTCACTATGTAGCATTCGATTTTACTTAGTCTACGATTTTATATGTATAAAGCTACTTGACCATCTTATATACGGTGATTTCAAATGAACCGTACATAAACACCATCAGTTTCTTCAGTGACAATCGTATACTGCGATTCAAAGTGGTGCGTACATTCAGTTAAAATATTAACAAGGCGTGTCACGTGTGTTGCTCGAAGCGCCTCCAAATGTCCATAAAGCGATATCGATGTTTCGGTTAGTCGAGAAACTCTCCATAGCGAGGTGTGACATGCACAAATCCGTCGGTAACTAGCATGTAACGCTCTCTCCGAGTGTTTCAGACGGGGAGAGGATGAAAGCTGTTTCTTAGAAGCGATGATAAATCACATAATCCGACGGTAAAAGAGTGTGTGCCCCTCGTTATTTTCGGCACGAGCCTGCGGTCGAGTATTTATTTTTACGCGGAAAAAGGAAAGGACGTCGTAACGCTCATACACGGGCCTAACACTGGTTTTTTCCCCCTTTTTTTTTTTTAGCGGAAGAAGGTGAGCTGCTGCGTCACTGTTAAACGAGGCAACGGCCTTGCGAGAATGGCTCACGCTCTTTTTTCCTTCTTCC